TAGTAAATCCAGCTCCTTATCAGAGCTGACCCAATGGAGCTTGTGCTGGCTCTGTCACTCTCTATCAGCCTGGCTCACGCTGCTCCTCTAGTATCTGTGAACTGTGGGAGAACAGCAGTTTCATGATAGGCTTGGAAATGCTATTAATATGCAGGAAGGTTTGTGAGCATAAAGCCCTGTGCTAGCAGCTCGGTTTCAAAGCTCTTCGCTACAGCTAAGAACCTATCCCAATTTCCTAATCCCAATACTCAGTAATTACTCAAACATTATTCTCCTGGCTGGTCTACTTCCTACATTTACCCTATTCTTTCAGACATTGGATGCATAGATCCTTGAGCATTGCCTTTTTTCCTGTGGCAGTGACAGAAACAATCCATGCAATGAGGCATCTGAAGGTCACACCATAAATTTGTGCAGTCAGTCAACTAAAACCTCCCCCCCCCCATAGCATTAGAAGACTGCTTGCATGCCTGGAAACCTTTTACATCTCTGCAACACTGCCCACCCCTCAAAGACTTCCTTTCACACACACACACACACACACACACATGCACACATTTGTGAGTGAAAAATTAGCACAGACTGAGATCAAGCCTTCATAACTCAGATTCTAGCTGGACAGAATGCTTTTACAAACACCTGGAAGAGAAATCCTTGGGAATGTGTTGAGTCAGCGCACCTGAGAAGAGAATGCTGCTGACATATGGAATAGGAATTTGAGGGACATTGAATCAGGCAGCTGAGACAGGCCTTTAGCTATCCATTCCAAAGACCCCCTTCTTGAAAAACTGGTAAGTGAACAGTGAACTTGATGACCTTTAAGTGTCTTGACCCTGGGGTCAGACTCCCCTTTTTCAGGGGATGAGGCTGGGGATTTGTGGTGTGAGAAGGAATTGCCATCAGGGGCAGCCCCAGAAGCATCTAACCGACAGGAAGTACTTCTGCAAGAAGATCATATGGTGCTGGTGTTCCTCTGGGTCAAGGACATCTCATCCCTTTCTTCTGACTCTGAGGAACCCAGTTCAAAAGCCTAAATGCAACTACTAGAGTCTCTCCCACTCAGCTGGAGCAATCTAGTCAGATGGGCGGGATACACATAAACAACAACAATAACTGGCAAAGAAGGTTGGACTCCTTTAAATGAAAGGCTCTTCTCAGTGAAGGCACAGCTACCCACTCAAACTCCTGTTTAAGGCTTGTTTAACTGCTGCTGGAGCAACACCCGAAGTCTGCTTGCATGAAGTATTCAGCCCAAGTCCTGCCTGGAGCTGTCCAGGGTATTCTCTGCTGATCTCATGAGGTTTGTTTGGAAAGACAGCCATTCATGATCCTAATTAATAACCAAGGACAAAAATAAATTCTCCATGCCAAAGTATGATGTAAAACATCCAGAGGCTTTGTCTAATAGCACTACACATACCATAGATTTGGGAACAAACCATGTAATTCTTCTGGTCCCAAAGCTTTTAAACTCATGTCTTGAGGGTAGGTTTGAACTTCAGGCTGCCAATTTCACAGCCATTTGGCTTATGCAAGCAGCCTTCCCTTTAGCGCTATTTCTTTTGCTGCCACTGGGCTCTGCTGGAAACCTTCCCTGCAGCACCCGTCACATCACAACTGATGGGCTTTTCAGAAATGCATCCCCTGCCATTTGAAGGTACTGTGAGGCAGCCAATGAAACGAACACAGCAAGGGAGCATCAGTTAGTTGTTAAAAAGCATTTCTCTCTCTCTGCTCAGACAATGTTTCCTTTGAAACAGCTGCCACTTCCCAACCTCTCACCCTAGATTAATCCCTTAGGGCAGCGGTTCTCAACCTGTGGGTCCCCAGATGTTGTTGGACTACAACTCCCATCATCCATAGCTAGCAAGGCCAGAGCTCAGGGATGATGGAAGTTGTAGTCCAACAACATCTGGGGACCCACAGGTTGAGAACCGCTGCCTTAGGGGCTCTCCTGCTATATTCCCTATCTGATACGGCAATTGCAGCTAGCCAGCAGCCGGCCTTTCTCCTTCCTTGACTTCTCTTAGGGACAATTCAAATGGACACCTCCCCTCCCACTGTTGCCTCCAGTGGTTGCTTGGGGGAGGGTAACAGTTTCATTTTTCTTCCCCATGTGTTGGGGAAAAAGCAAGAAGAGTTAACACACTGATCCACCCCAGTGCCCCAGGAATAAGCAGTGCTGGTGTGTTAATGCTGCATACAATGGGAGAGACCATGCAAGAACCCATACATTAATTCTAGCCATTTATGGGTTGCTCTTCAGTGACAGTCATGGGTCGATATGCTTTGCTTAACCTACAACTGGCCATTCTCTCAGAGGATATACTTCAAGTGGTGAATTAATCGTGACCTGCAGTTGTGACAACACTTAAATTAATGTGCTCCTTGGCCCCAAAAGGTAAGGGCCCCTTTGTCAAGTACAGGAGAGGATTTCAGCTACTGCTCATGATTCTACTCCCACCAACACCCCCTGGTACACCTGGCTGAATTAAAGTATATGTTTCCATAAATTGAAGATTAGAACAGTAAAAGGACTATTATTTTAGAAGTGTCAAATTTGCTTGATCTTGTCCTGGCTGAAACTTTCCTCTCCTTCTCAAAGGAACAAATCAAGCTTATGCCTATCAGTGTAACTTTCCCAGCATTCTATCTTCCAGCAGAATGCACTTGATCTAAATCGTTCCTTGATGGATATCAGTGCAATGTATTGAAATCTCTTTTTTTGTATTAACTGCCTATTCAGTTGTCAGAACTGCTTTTAAAAGGGGAAGAGGATGGCTCTCATTCATGCAATTACAGACATTTAGCTGACAATGAGCTGGATCTCATTTCTATGCTAACAAGTGTTCATTTACTCATTCATGGACTGGAGCAGAATTACTATTTTTAAGTCCCTTCCAAGAGAAAAGAAATACCATTCTTTAAGAGTGACAGCAGTAAAATAAATGAGTGGGAACTTGGTTTCTTTCGTCATAAAAAATTCAAAAAACAAGCAGAATGAAGTGTGGAGAAATCTGCTGTCCCAGATGCATACCATGTTAAAACATATTTTTTGTTAATTTGTACAGCCATCCATGCCTTACTCTATATAAAGCCTAAGGGCTTCAGTGGTCAATAGCAGCCAATTATATGAGGGCTGTCGAGTTTGTTGTTCTGTGTTTTCCTGCGCCTTTGGTTTAACAACAGCCGGACATATGTATAAAAATGAAGGGAATGCAGTTTCATCTCTATTCTTCATCATTTTATCCCTTTACCTGTCAGAGGCAATGGAACAGGACCAGGAACAAAACTGAGATGAGACAGTGGAAGTCTTATGGGAGTACCATTCACAACAGTCCATTATTTGGCTTTTCTTTCACAAAGACCAGGCCCTATATTTTTCTGCATTAGCAGGAACAATCAATCATCAGTGTACAGGTGAGACCCCTTCCCTTGTTTAAAAATACATCTGGTAGGAGTTGAAAAGCAGGTTAAATTTGCTATGTTTCCTAACCCTGTCCCAATGCATTTCATTTCTATGAAATCAAAAGTAACTTTGAATTAAAGATGGGGCACTATTAACTGTCTTTCATTCCTGTCTTCTGACCAAAGGAAAAGAGCAAAATGTATCATGTTTATTTCATTTTGACATATTCCCTCCCTTTTCAGATAGTAATATTTTTGTATTACCCGTAAAGAGACATTCCCTCCTTGGCTGGTGGGTTTCGTTAGCAAATATTTGGGTACTACTGTCGGGATTGGGCTAACCATTATGCTAAGTATTGTAAAGAGCAGGCTTCAGCTACCATAGTTTAGTTTTCTGGCTCACCCCAATGTGAAATGTATTAAGGTTGTTTATTAGGTTTCTGCACTGGGCTTTTAGAAATCATCTCCAGAAACTCCCAGGATGGCTGTGTTCTTCAGGATAAAAACCCAATCTTGAAAGACTTAAACCTTGTAAAGTTGACCTAAATAGTGAAATTTGTGAACATTGTTTGTTGGGGAAGAAAACAAGACCTTCTATCCCCCAAGCAAAGCCAGAAAAGTTCAACAGAGCCTTTGTAACTTATTAATCCTGATATATGTGATCCAATTCAACTTGATGTCTCATGGGAAAAACTACAAAATGGGAAAATAAATTTTCTGCTTGTATATGCTGTTGATATAATTTTGGTTACTGAAAATAAACAAGATTGAAGAAGAAGAAGAAGAAGAAGAGTTTGGATTTGATATCCCGCCTTTCACTCCCTTTAAGGAGTCTCAAAGTGGCTAACATTCTCCTTTCCCTTCCTCCCCCACAACAAACACTCTGTGAGGTGAGTGGGGCTGAGAGACTTCAGAAAAGTGTGACTGGCCCAAGGTCACCCAGCAGCTGCATGTGGAGGAGCGGAGACACGAACCTGGTTCCCCAGATTACGAGACTACCGCTCTTAACCACTACACCACACTGGCTCTCAAAAGTTGTACAAAAGTTGTTGAATGTTTAAATAAGAAAAAATTGAGAATTTACATGCTAAATTGAAATTGATTAATTCAAACAAGGCACATTGAGAAGGGGACTGTAAGAAAAAGACTGGGGCCTAAATTGAATAGTAGGGTGCCTGGTATCTGGTGGGCAATCTCATCCTTTATTTCCACACTGTGGCTCCAGACCAAATCATCTGTCAGGAGAGCTATGGCCTGGCCAGGACGCAGGCCTGGCTAGGACACAGGCCAACTGGTAGCTTGACCAGCATAAGAAACAGAATTTAGCCTGAAGTACTGCAAGGAAGTCAACTGACAAGGCAGAATGGGATTAGAAGAGGTTGCTTAGGAGAGGCATGGAAGTTTGGGTTCCCACTTGCATTGTGGGGCACTATCACACAATATGAATCTGCAAAGGATCTTCATGTTTTTGCTTGGGCCTGATGATTCTTACAGGTAACACTTTTTAAAAAGCATAATACCCCTAAATATCTGGGCAAATTATCAGGGCAAATAATTAAAAACTCTCCTCCACAGTTAAGGGAAAGCTAAAGGCCCTAGCTCAGCAGTAGAACATCTTCCTTGCATGCAGAAGGTCCCAGGTTCAATCCCTGGTGTCTCCAGGCAAGGTTTGGAGAGATTCCTGCCTGAGACCCTGGAGAGCCACTGCCAGTTATTGGTAGACAGTAGTGAGCTTAATGGACCAATGGTCTTGACTTCCTATGTTCCAGTGTAATACAAGGCTTGCTTGCAATGCTGCCATTCTCTCTTTGCAAGCAGTCAGAGAAAATTCAGCCAGGAAAATCAAGCAGAGACATGGCCTCCTTGCATCTGTGCCCATCTTATACCACCAGGCTGATCCTGGTGGAGAACACGGTGGAAACAGATGCTCTGCCCCTGCCCATTTGTTTTGTGCCTCCCTGCTTCAGTGCTTCAGGAAACAGAAACATCTGTACGACGGGGAGAAGCAGCAATGAAAAATAAAGGCTGAGAATGCAAAAGGAGTGTGTGCAGGGCGGCGGCTGCTTCTAATTTTTAGAAGACAAGACAGAAGAGTCAATCATTTCTGAGGCTGAACAATTTTCAAAATCTTGTTTTTTACTATTGCACTAAAAAAAAATGAAACAGGAAGTGGAAACCTATAGAAACAAAGAAAAAAACCCCAAATTGGTCCACAGAGAAGATGGTGCTAATATGTGTGTCCAGGCTAATATGTGTGTCCAGGGCAGACATTAAACTAACCAGAAGGCGGATTAACAGCAAAAATTAGAAAGGTGGTGCATATATTTTGCACTTTTGCACTTCGTGAGGCTTCATTTGAAATTGGCAATGCTTTCCGCATCTGTGGATAATGTCTCCTTTTCTGCCTGGCAACAGAGTCCCCATGCTTGTTTCAGAGTCCTCATGTTTATCTCCGTCTAAGCCTCCTTGTGCTGAAGGTTGCCAGCTTCAGACGCAGAGCAGGCTTTTGAGCCTTTAATATTTGTGCAGTGGCGGTGACAGGAATTAACCAAAGAAGCGGGATCGCTCATTGCAATGCTGTGATAGCAAGAAATGCTATCCTCAGGATCAAATACTTCTGCTGAATACTCTCCATAGCCTCTTCCCAAGGAGAATGCCACCCAAAAGGGAAAGCAGATCTTACACAACACTATGGGATCAGAAAAACCATGGCTTGTCTTGCAGATTCGCTCCTTATTGTGCTTCCCATGGGATTTCTGGAAGTCTGTGTGGAGTGTTTCAAAAAGCTGCAACCCTCTGTTTATATCTAAAGTTGCAGTGTTTGCTGGTATAGAGCTGCTTCGTGCTAGCTTGTTGCACTGGTCATTGGATGCTCCCAAAGGACGGGACATTGCACACCCAGTATTCGCACAAGGTTGCCAAGAATTGAGAATGTAGCCCTCATCAAAGTCGCAAAGTCATTTTGAGGGTGGGGAGAAAGTACCTTTTAAAAAAGGGGAGCCCTTCCCTTTTGACCTGTCACCCTCTCAGCACTCTCTGCATATATCCAGGGACCAGCTTGTTCATATCTGCCGGGGTAGATGACAAGAAGAAGGTTCACTGATGGAAATCACCACATCCTGAGGCTGGGACTCCTGGTGATTGTGCGTCCCCCGAATCTCGCCCATCTCATTCACGTTATTGCTGATGCAGTTCACGTCGCTCTTGTTGTTGTTGTCATCAGCGTTGGGACCAAACATCCAGTCTGCAATCAGAACAACAAAATGTAGGAGTAAGTGCTGGCAATGAAAATGGGAAGGGGAGCGAGAGGCTGGTATGGTTGATGTGTAGGAGGAGCAGCTTATTCAGGGTTTGCTTTCTATTTAGCAATCTACCTGAAAAAGGGTATTTATGTGGGGAACCTTAAGCTTGGGGGCTGAATGTGGCCCTGCAGGCCTTTCTATCTGGCCCTTGGAATCCCCCCTAAGCCACACCCCCTCTCCTCAGACCATGTCTTTAACTGGCTCTGTTCCAAGTGCTTTTTGCCTGGTTGTAATCAGTCCTTGAACTCTAATAATGCCTCTTGATTGTCTGGATGGAGGACTTACTTTCTCTCTCTCTCTCTCTCTCTCTCTCTCTCTCTCTGGTGTTTCTAACTATATTCTCTCAACAACCTCCCTTCTAGGTAGGTTAGGCTAAGAGCGTGATTGGCCTAAAAGTCTCCAATGAAGCTTCATGATGGAACAGGGAATTGGGTGAGTATGTCTGGTTCAACTGTGGCATTTTATACCAGATTGGATATCTATATGTCCTGAAGCTGTTTCACATAGCTAATTGCTTCCCGGGTATTCTAATGTCACACAGTTTCTTGTATTAGTTCTTCTGCATCTGTATCCAACGAAGTAGGATAAGTTTATTGTGGTGCTGCTGGTGTTGCTTTCTGGGTCACAGCCACCGTCAGCAGCCTTCCAGTCATGATTTTGGTATTGCTGTTATTATTTTAAGAAACACCTAGGGAAGGATAAATTTCCATCCATCAAAGAGGTGTCTTTTAATAATTTGCCTGAGGACAGGGAACTTGAACAAAATAGATATGCTGAGAAATGGAAGAAATTAGTAGGTATACTTTTTAAATGAAAAGAAAGACACTTTACTAACCTAGCACTGAATTGTTGGGTCCCCAAATGTTCACTTTCTCATGGTTGTCTCAGGGCTCCTGTTTCCTTTCTACATGGAGACCTTTATCACACAGTGTTTGCCTCATAAAAATAAGCAACCATTTTGCAATCTCTAATGCAGTTCATGGAATACAAGATACACATAGTTTTAACAGAAGATGTTGCCAACTTCTTCTGTTGGGAGTGCATTTCAGACCACAAAGCAGTGTGGTCATAGTCAGCAGCTGTAAATATTCAGATGCAGCAAGGGAGTTTTGTATCACTAGTGACTGTAGCAACAGTACTAGATATTGCAACAGATACAGCTGGTGTTACATTGCAGCTGTAAGGGAGGGTGTTCACACACAAAAATGCCTCTGAGTACCACTTGTGGTGGCATAGCACCCACGATGGTCTTACTACTCTGCACTAAGTGGAGTTCTTATAACTCCCCGCTTTCATTACTGAAGGAAAGTGTTTGTATGACCATTGAACAAAAATAGCCCCACTAGTGTTCCGTGGTCTCTGGTGACATGGCACTTGGTTTCAAATATGTAGGTCTAAGACAAGTCTACTCTGGAGATAATTACCTGTCTGGGCTCACACACACCCCCACTCACTTTCCTAGGGGACTTACAGCTACTGTAATCTCCCCAAGCAAGAATGTATTGGAATCTCTTCCCTAATTAAACATCCCTGGGGATTTTGAATCCCCAGATCCCTAAGCATCTCCCATCACTCAGCTTTTATTCAGCCCGTCAGCCCTTCTTGGCTGTCTGAGAAAGAGAAAATCTACTCTTCATCTTCCCGAGGAAAGACTGCGGAATGCAAATGAAAGCAAACTGTTAATTCCCAGGGGAAATAAAACCAAATTAGGTCTGTCAGAAGAGACTTGCCACTTGAAGTGTTCCTTACTGGGAAGTAGCCTGATATTTAGCAGTGCTGGAATGCAACCTATGTGTTTGCTGGAAGTCACAGAGGGATCATGTGGCTGCACTAAGGTCCTGCTTGTGGGCTCTCCCTGGGCATCTGATTGGCCACAGTGAGAACAGGATGCTGGACTAGATAGAGTTTCTTATGTCCTTAAAGCATTGTGACCAGTGGATTTGTGCCCACTGACACCACAAACAGAAATGAATGATGCTGCAGACATGGAACTATGGTGTTTGTTTTCTATATAACTTGCTTGGTGCCCATTGGTCAGGAGTGACTCAGCCAGAGAGGCTGAGAAGGCAATGGGGTGCTAAAATCTGGAATTGAAAAGGGTAGACCAGCAGCCAACAGCACAGTAAGGCTGCGCTGCTCGCTTGACCTCCATCCAGCTGAGTCACTGCAGCATACCAAGATGTAGAGGGGGAAGGAGCACTGGTGGAGCCAAATCGCTGAGCCCCTCCCTTTCTCTTGCAGCAGCAACTCAGCCAGATGGAGGCTGGTGAGCGATTTAGCCCCACCATGCTATCCACTGCTGGAGTAGGCAATTAGGAAGGGAAGGACATTAACAGTCAAAATGAGAAAAGAGTATCCTGGTCCTGATCATTCACAAAATGACTTGTGATGCTACTCACCATATAATAACGTTAACCTGCTACAGCAAATCCAATGAAGAATCTTGTGGTACCTTAAAGACTGACAGACTTATGGCATAAGCTTTCATGGGCTAAGCTCTGCCACATCAGATGCAGAGTTTTAACTTTGGAGGAGGGAGCAGAAATCTGAAGACTGCCAACTCTAATACAGGTTATTTGTGCACACTAAAAAATATCTTTTGAAAAGGCATCTCCAGAATCTCCCCCAAAGGCAAAATAGAGGCAATGATTTACCAAGAAGAAGTACCAAAAAAGAAAGACTGTTGAGTAAACAGGATCAAAGATAACATATGTATTACTGATATAAAGCTTTAGCTTATCTGTTTTCTTCCATATATACTTAGCCAGACCTTAAGCCAAACCTCCAGGTTCTCCACTAGGGAGATGGCCTTTTTGGTGGTGGTGCCTCAGTCACAGAATGCCTTCCTTGATGATACTTTGTCTTTTTTTTTATTTAAGCAATTTCTATATCACTTAGCTACAATAGTTACTAAGTAATATACAATAGAGAGCAATACCTTAATCTCTCTAGGCCTTTTAGTACCATGTTTAGTTCTTGAGACAGATTATTTTAGGGATGTGGCTTTTAGAATAGTTTTATGTTGAATAGGCTGGTTTTTATGTGGGTATTGTAGTGAAGGTAAGTGTTCTAACTTGGTTGATACTGTCTGAATTTTGGGCAAATTGCCCAGAGGATGTTGTTAATGGCCAATCAATCTCAAAAATACATATATGAAAGGGAAGTGACTGTCGCAGAATAGCAAGTGGCAAACAACCTACTGAGAAAGACAAAACCCATGGAAGAGATGAGAAAATGGTTAAGGATCTCGGTTCAGTTTGCATTTTAATGCGAACCTACTTAATATTTTTTTTTATAAGATATTTATTAAGGTTTTTTGAAATATTACAGCGAACCTACTTAATTTGCACTTCCTGAAATAATGCATGAACCAAAACACAGCCATCCTTCAAAATCCATAAATCTCAAGATTTTATTATGCTGTTCTTCAGCTGACAAATGTGTACAAAAAACAGTGTCATATTAAAGGATGGTGTGCATAAAAAGACATATCTCAGTGAAAATAATATACAAAAAAAGCATTATATTAGGGAGAATTGCTTGAAAGTGGGTGTATATTAGGTGAAATTGCATACAGCAATGTGCACCAAAATACTGACAAATTTTCATGAGAACTTTTTTTAAAAAAAGAAACAAACAAATAGTAAACAGATATGGACATGAGGAGAACTGAACTTGACTAGGGAAGTGAGAAATGGAGAGAAACTGAAAATGTTAAATTTGCTGACCCCTAAAAAAAGCAGCTGAATTATTGTCAGGATGTAGACAGAAGAGATGGAGAGAGCTCTGGAGTGAGCATGGCAGTTCCCAATAAGGAAACGGTCTCCAGCCAGTGCCCTGAAGTGCCAATGCCAAAAGCAGGAATATTTCAGTCTGCTCATTGAAGATAAGGCACCAATTTAGAAAAGGCTCCCGAGAGGCAGAAATGTAGACTTGGTAATAGATTCTAAGTGACAAGATGCAGAATGTCTCTCAGCCACAAAGGCAGGCATATTAAGGATTCCATATCTATGCACTCTGATTGAAAACACACACACACAAACCAAACAGTTCTCTCTGTAAAAAAAGTTGCTTTTCTCTTTGTAGTTTGCATTTCACTCTAGATGTAATTCAGTGACACTTCACTCTGGGAGACCCTGTTAGCAAACTGTACCATATCGTGCAGCTGATCTAGGTTCCACAAAAAAGGCTCCCACTATAAATGGAAAAATTACACCCACACACCCACACCCACACACACACACCACACCCACACACACACACACACACACAACATAGCAATAATGAAATAGTAATGACAAGAGATTAATGATATATGGCTTATTATTGTTTATATTTTGAATTAGATATATATGGGGGCACCATTTTTAAAAAACTGTTTAGGGACTCTAAAGGTCTCAATCCAGCCCTGCTTATATGCAACCATCCTCGCACATCCTCCCACACTAAATCTTTCTTGCAGAGGCTGTATTCGCTAGGAAGGTGCCTACTTAATTTCTGAAGTGAATATGGAGAAGAATGCAACATTAATCATATGCTCTAATGGTCCCTATATACCAGGGACCGTTTCTATTTTTCAAAAGGGTCTCAGGGTTCGTCCTTACATTCGCTTGCACCATGCCTAGAACGCATGGGTCTGGGTGGTTTTCCCCTTGCCCCACTCCTTTCCAAGGGAAAACCTGCTCTTTAGCGATAGATTGGAACAAATGGCAATCTGGGGAAATCCCAAATTGCTGTTTGCTATGATTGAGCACTAAAGAGCAGTTTTGCCCAGGAAAAGCAGCAGGAAAAGCCCTCAGGTAAACCACTCTGCCAGATGTCCCCCCCCCCATTTTGGCGATACTTTATTAAAATGTTGTTAGTGTAAAATGCTATGCATTCAGCCTCCCTCCCTAGAATCCCCGGAAGTTAAATATCACACATGTTTTATCTAGTGCAAATGCATGTATATACATGGCATGAACACCAAGGCTACATGCAGGGCACAGCCTGTGTACAAGAGAGGGAGGGAGGGAGAGAGGGAGAGAGAGAGAGAGAGAGAGAGAGAGGGAGAAAGAGAGAGAGATAGGGGGTGGTATGGCAGTTTTATATTCAGTGCTCATTAAAACACAATCACAAAGCTGTATGGTTCCAATTGTCTGTGTATAAGTATAGCAGAGTCAGGGCACCTCAGCAGTTATGAAAATAGAAGACTGTGGCTGATAAGCAAAATCTCAGCTAATGAAGTAGAGCTGAGATTATTAGCATGCGGCTACAAACAATGAAGCCTGTCTGTTTTAGAAAGACACATTTTCTAACTAGATCATTTAATAGATATCACTTCCATTAATGCATTGGGTAGAGGTAGGGCTGTCAAGATTTATTTTGGCAAAAGCTTCTATGCTTTTACCAGATATCACATAGAAATTTAGCAGGTAAAGTCCCCCACACCGCCGAGCATGGAGATGAAATTATGACAAAATTTTTACCCACTACATCTCAGCCCACAATAAGAGAAAAGGTGTCTGTGTGGAGGGTGGTGGTGGTTAGAAACAGACTGGCAACATGATTCCCCACCATAGGAGCCTACTCCTAGGGGCTGAGCTCCCTTCGCTCCTCCCCAATAAAATATTAGAGGGGGCCATGCCCGCCAAGTTGATGGACATTGCCATGATGTGTGTGAGCCACGTCTTGTGATTGATGGGGCAGGGCTTACCTGGGCCCCCCAAATATATTATTCAAGTTGGCACCTCTGTTTCCCACTGCGTCCGACTCATATCTCCCAAACTGAATAAAGGACTCTTTCCTTCTAAACAAGATTTTATTATTTTCACTCTCTGTCCTATCAATGAACACTGGCAATTGTATTTTTTCCTCTGTTTTCAGAAGACCTTTCAGTTCAACAATTGAAATCCTCTGGGGAGTCTGGTTTAGCTCTGCCTTCCAAACAATTGGTTTATTGTAGCAAAAGTCTTGCCCTTTGAAGTGGAGTGTTGTGGAGACTCTGCATATTTACTCAAAGATAAATTCCACTTAGTTTGGCTTACTCCCAGGAAAGGGTGGGGAAAATGGCAGCCTTAGGGTAGAGGTCATAGTTCAGTGAAATAATGCTCTGTGTGTTATATGGGTTCAATCATTGACACCTCTAGTTGGTTTTTTTTAAGATGTAAGGGTGTACACACAGTAACTTGCTTGTAGCACAAAAATGTAATTTTTCCTCAGTCTGGAATAATTCATGCTCATCCTCAACATGCTGCTTTCAATCTAGATGGATTCTAGATCCTGCTGTCAGCAAGAGTAATTCTGGTTATGCGATACACGTTTGAATGTCCTCCCCTTGATTTGGTTATCCATACAATTTCTTACCTGCATGCCCCAAGAGAAGGAAGAAGGAAGTAGAGATTGCAGTATGACTTACACAACGTCATTGGGCAGGCTTAGAGATATACACTCCATTGCTGAGTCCGCCTTCATTTGTTTTCAGCTGTTTTCAAATGGACACACTCCAGAGTAATGGAGAATCACTGCGCAATGAGCTTTTACTTTTGGAATGAAACCAGTTTCTCAAGAAAAGCTTAAAAAAATAAATATATTGAAGTAACTCTAGGTAGTGGGTATGGACTATGCTTTTTTTTATTTATTTAAAGTAACCAGTTGCCATTGATTCTAAAATAAAATGTTTTGTGCATCCTTAGCAGCATGACAAGGGAAGATCTCTGCCTGATGTTCAGGAGAACTGCTGCCAGGTCACAAATGCAGTTTTAAGTTGATGGCCCAATCACTGATTGTATTCAAATATTGACTTGCAAAGAGAGCATCTGCTGCAGCAGGGATGGGGAACTAGACCCCGTCAGCCCCAGCCAGAATGGCCAGTGCTGCAGGGTGCTGGGAGCTGTAGTTCAACAACACCTGGAGGACCACAGTTTCTGCTGCAGGGAAGGACGATCACCTGTTGCATGTTAATGCCAAGGTTTCGGCTCAAAAAGTCTTTAGGATGATGCCGTTCTCAGCCATCCCTGAGTGCTGTCCACCCTGCTTCTTCCTACTCTGCCCCACCAAATCTGTGAAATGGCCCAACTGCCGTTGCCAGCCCTGCATCCTTTGCAACGGCCGTGGCTGTTGCTCCTTCAGCAGTGAAGTTGAGGCTGAATCCCTGTGCAGGCGTATTGATCTTATGAGCCACTGTGTCAGTGTAGCAGCTCATAGGATTAGCCTGCTAAAACGGATTAGTTACTCTTTATCACTCCTCCAAACATCCTCTCTTACGCACAGTCCAAGTGGGGAAAGGGTGGGTTCCCCCCACTGTTTCAATTCCGGCCAATGAGCGGAGTGGTGATTCTAATCAGTGTTTGTAATTATAGTATAGATGGAATTGAGGTGTGTGTGGGGGGGATTGAAAGGGTGGCTGCTGCTAGTTCTTTGGGATTAATTAATCTAGGGTCGAAGAGTGTTATCCTGAGAATGAATAAGCCCTGAAATATAATGCCAATTGAAGTAACTCCCATCTGCGGCTGCTCTCAGCTGACCTCGTTCAGCTCACTGCTCAGGATTAAAAGCTTCACATGTCTGGAAGAACTCCAGGAAATGGGCATGTGAGCCTGTTGGACCCAGTGCACTTAAAAAGAGATCACTATGGCATTTGGTCAATCTTTTAAACAAGATATCGACACTTCTTCCTGACTTTTCCGTAAGACTCTTTTAGCATTGGCCGCATCTTAAGCATGAAGGCTAAGGGAAAGCCCTGGTGAACTCAGGTGGTGGGACAGGAAATCACAGGAAATATACTGGAATTGCACTGTACAAATGCAGTTTATTGTACATAAAGCTGGTGGCACCCTGGGCTCCTTTCAGAGGAAAGATGGGAAATAAATTTAATAAATAATATGTATGCCACTGTTTCTAACCCTGATTGGACAAAACTAACAAGGTAGGGTGTCTGGAAAAACCCCAAAACAACCATGCAGTTGTGCTCTGTTTACTGATACTGAGCATTTTTAGTGCTCCCCTGTCATGTTTTCAAACCTTTTTCTAGTCATGAGGGCTAGATACTTTCTGGCTCTGGGTGCAATCTTAAATCCACTAAAATTGCCAGCAAAAATACTCTGCCAGTTAGACATTTTCTTACTGGCTAATCTATGCCTCCTTCCCTGCAGCAGTCTGCAGTAGAACCTCTTGGCTTTAGACTGTTCTGACCTGTTATATCTCCCTGTTTCTTGCTTCCAAAAGGAACAGGAAGTGATGTGGGAGGATGAGTGTTATCATAATGAGATTGCAGATACTATTAAGGTTCATTGACGTCAGTGGCCAAATGTCATTGGGAGCAGGTGGGTTATACCGTGATGGGAGATAATTCATGACCTGAGAAGGCACAAAGATAGGCCCCTAGGTGTGTAATAAAGACATTGGACTAGGTTTAATTCAAAAGTTCTTAATATGGAAACTTGCATAAGGATTTTCCAGAATCAGAGGGACCAGAATGTTAGTGGAGATCACGTAATTCTGTGCAGCTGCCCAAACTACCTTTATGGGGTGAAGATAACACAGTGCTAGTTTTTCAGTAAGGCTCTTCCTTCCTACAGTTGAATAAAATTGACCTAGACACCCGGCGACTATTTGCAAAGCCCTTGTGCTACTCTGGCATAAGACGCACATCATACAATGTATACTTTTTATTTTAAATGGAGGAGGATTTTCACATGTTGAAGACAAGTCAACAGAACTGAACATTCTTTGTATGTTCAGTGTATGTACATTTTAATGCAAAACATTAAAATGTTTCACAGATTCCAGCTGTTTTGGGAATACAACTCCCATCATCCCTAGCTAACAGGACCAGTGGTCAGGGATGATGGGAATTGTAGTCCCAAAACAGGTGGAGGGCCAAGTTTGGCCATGCCTGCATTAAGGCAATTACCTTCCCAGTGGGAAGGTAAACGGCGTTTCCGTGTGCTGCTCTGGTTCACCAGAAGTGACTTAGTCATGCTGGCCACATGACCCGGAAGCTGTACACTGGCTCCCTCGGCCAGTAAAGCGAGATGAGCACCGCAACCCCAGAGTCGTCCCTTTACCTTTACCTTTAACTAAACAGCAGGCTATGGTTTAGAAGGTAAGAGAGTTTTATGAGTGAAGAAAGTAATGGCAGACTATCTCCAGTGTAAGAAAGAGTCTTGGTATCTTCTAAGCAACACGAAGATAACACAGACAGAGGCATAGGACCACAAATGTAAATTTAGTCTCTTGCTCAAGCAATGTCTGCAGGGTGACCCAGCCATATTTATTTGGATAGCCGTAGTCATTACGGTGAAGTCCAAGCTGGCCTGACCATGATGGCCATTGAAATATCTTTTTCATCAAATTTAGAGAGCAATTATGGGGGTGATATTTTTGAACTGACCTTGTCTAAAATACAACACTCATTGTCTAAGCCTCCTGCAACAGCAAGGAGCTCAAATATGCTGATAACAACATTTTGCACATTGTTCCTGGAGGAATTGCATTAGGCCTGTGTGGAGAACGAGGTTGCAGAATAGGTTGAAGCCAGCCCTAGGTAAACCCCATTAGAGGGTTGCTGACAATGTAGCAGGACCACAACTCAGTGTTGCTGGATCAGAAGCCAAAAAGTCCCTACAGAGAATAAGACAATTTCCCAGTCACTTGTCTCAACAAATAAAATGCCACATGTTCAAAACTGGTTGAAGTCTTGAAATTCAGATTTAAAATTTGTATCTGAAGCCATGTGAACACCCCTGGGGTCTTGCCAGTTTCCATGCTAGAAACATATAGTGGATTGGAGATCACAACAACACCATGTCTGATTTCATTGGATTTGAATTTGCACAACATCTGCAGGAAGACAGCGAATGGTCGACCACAGAAGGATGTGAATTGCTATTACTGTGGTTGCCAAGGACAGAAGCATATTCCTCTGCATTCCCAAATGTTTCCATAGCACTTTGGATCAAGAGATTTCAATTTTGCTTGCAAAAAAGAGCTAGCACAGAAGCTCCGGCAATTGCCTTGTAAGCCTTGCAGACTGTGGGCACACCTTGCAAACTGAAATTCAGTCTGATTTCGGTATAAACAGTGCACTACAGCAGACCAGGGGGAAATTATATAACGGAAGCCTCTTCTAATTCCAAAGTAAATAACAGGATGGCTTATTTCTTCACAGGCTAATCTGCAAGATGGTTTCTGTGGGGATTATTTTGGGACCTTCTAGATTTAATATGTCATCCACAGGGAGAGGTAATTAGGATGTTGCTAGCTTATACTTAAGGAGATGCTGTTAGGATTTTTCTCTATGAGCAAGGAGAGCAAAGGTACCCTTAAGACTTGTTAGCATCCAAGGCCTTATATCCAGGCACAGGGCTGAGGTCTTTGTTAGGGAGATCAGAGAAAGCTCTTCCTTTGGGGAAGCTTAGGTTTCCAGACAAAGCATATATCAGGCAACTGTCCTCGTCTATTTCTACAAATTTAGTGCAGAGGTTATACAACACCACTGTCAAGTGGTTGTTATCGTGCATATGCTGCTGCAGCTTCACATAACTTTTCTTTCCCCCTCCCAAGTCTTGATTTTTTTTGAAAGCCAATTTGTTGCGCTGTTGCTATTTTTCACAATGTACCCACTTTCTGTGCAGTGACTAATGAAGGTGCACTTTTATTGTGCAATGGCCATATACTGGCATCTATCCAAACATTGAAGAGATAGGTGCAGAAATGCAGAGGTCTGAAAGTGACCTTAGATGCTGTAATAGTAATAAGTGTTAACTGCCCTCTCCTGCTATGGTAACCTTTGGTGCCTATTGCTTTTGAGTTTATGCCGTGCTTTGCCTTTGTTACAAACCAATAATATTTTAACCGAGCAATAGTTGACAACAGCCAGCAGAAGCAGGATTCAACAGTTATGAATCCTATGGGTTTTATCCATGCTGCAATTTTGCCTGTTCCAGTATAAAGGAGTCAAAAACCACTGCATCTGTAAAAAGAAAATTGTATAACCCTCCTATGCAATTAAGAATGTTATAAGATCAGCTGGGTGAACTCAAAGGGTCCATTTAGTCAAGCAGCCTGCTTTCTGCAGCAAGCAACCAAATCCACAATTGAGATCCAGCTCACCATCATAGACTTCTCCCTCTATTGCTCCCCACCAGCTGGTATTTTGTGGCCTCTTGAGGTGTTCACAGGGTGTTCACAGATTACCGTACATTCAAGCAGTGTAAAATCTGTACTTGTGTACACAATAGTAGAGCTGATTACTCATGCAGTTATTCACATGCAACATTCACATGCAACATGGTCTGTGTTCACAACAGCTGAGCTATACAAATCAACAAGCTGTCAATTCTTTCACATAAACACCTCTACAGGTATAGTGTTTGTGCCTCTGTTTAGTTGTAATGAGTGAACAAACCTACAGTCATGATAGATGAAGGCCCCAGGAGGATAAAAACAGCAGGGAAGTTCAAAATAAATAAGCATGGTAAGGTTGAGCAGATAAAATTATCCACTTTCAAAACATTAGGAGTCATCCAGTGAAACTGGTTCTAAAGAGAGAAAATAACATTCTTCTTCATTTAATGCACAATCAACCTGTGAAATTAATTGCCACAAGCTTCGATTGCTTTTTTAAGAAAGAAAATATGCATAGTTGGTCTATCAGCCCCAATGGTCAGCATCTGTAACAAAATGAAGAAGAGGGAATCATACCCTATTTTTGAGGTTCCCAGAAGCAGCTGTCCAGTGGCCTTGGGAGGGAGCATGCTGAGCAATGAGCTTTTGTAGTTGCACACTTGGGAGTGCCACTTCATGACTGTCCACACAGCTACACACCCACACCATGTGTCCAAGGAGGCTGCTGTGCTGACTGACTGACTGACCGACTGACACACACACACACACACACACACACACACACACACACACACCCACCAGTACATGCCATACTACCTGATTTTTAGGATCAATACACCCTCTGCTGAAACTGCCAATGCTGCCTCTAAATGCCTTGATGCTTCTTCTGCAAACCTTTCTGTGTGCTTAAAGCTTAATAAATTCACAAATACGAGAGGTCATGGCTGAAGCCTGTCTCAGAGTTATACCCAGGCCTTGATCCCATGTATGTAGGTGCTGATAGTGGTTCCTCAAGGGCAAGAGGGAAAACAGTCTTCAGATGCTCAAACTGACACTTTAAGTGAGCTGAGCTCTAACATCAGGAGAAAACCTCCACTTTTTTCACCTGGTGAGCTTTGCCTCAAATTAAGTCTGGGATATACATTTGGAAAAAACTAAGGTACAGATCATATTACTGACTGAGCGAAGGCCAAAGCAAGCCATAAAAAGGTAACAATTATTATTATTTAGTTAGTTAGTTTCTATACCGCCCTATACCCGAAGGTCTCAGCGTGGTTCACATAAAGGATCACATACATAAAATCAAAATACTAACAACCCAATAAAACCCCCCAGCTTGCATTCCTTTTCCCTTTTATGAGTCCTTTCTTGGATGACTCAAAACTGATGGCAGCTGCCCCTTATGCTCTTGAAGAGCACATTTTAAAAATCAGCTGTGACAGCTCATGCGGGAAATGTCCTCCTGAGGAGCAAGGCCAGGAGTCCTGTAATTGTTTAACAAATGACTTTATCAAAGTGGCAGGTAAGGAAATAATCCACATCTTTTTGCAGGTACTGTCACAACCAGGCTTGCCAGGAAAATTTCCTGACGTGTCCTGGTTTCCAGGTGTAAAAATGGCATTGGGGGGAATTTTGCCGAATCTGCAAAATGCCAGGGGGAAGAAAGCTCAACAACTTTGTGGGTGTCAGGATTTTTACTCTACAAAAAGTGGCCTTGCTGGAACTTTGAAAGAGGTGGGGACAGGCATTAACTTTGAATATTGAATCTGAAGAATGTGACTTCACCTAACTTCAAGGCTTCAACTCTACTGAAAATCCTGGAAAGTTCAGATTTGGGACTTTTCCTTGTTCTAATGCAGGGGTCGGCAACCTAAGGCCCATGAGCCGGATGTGGCCCAATCGCCTTCTCAATCCGGCCCACGGATGGTCTGGGAATCAGTGTGTTTTTACATGAGTAGAATGTGTCCTTTTATTTAAAATGCATCTCTGGGTTATTTGTGGGCCATAGGAATTCGTTAATTTTTTCCCTTTCAAAATATAGTCCAGCCCACCACATGGTCTGAGGGACGGTGGCCCGGCCCACGGCTGAAAAAGGTAGCTGACCCCTGTTCTAATGAGTGAGTCCAATGTGAGAGGCAAGGAGGAGGACAGGCTTCCTGTACATTTCACAGAGTTTTATTCTGATCTGCTGAATTATTATTTTTTTAAAAAACCAAGTTAGTCTTGGCCATTAATTTCAATGGATCTACTCTGAGTAGGACTAGCATTGGATACAACCCGCAGCTGTGCAGAAGCAGAGTTGCTTTTCCAGCTTGTCATGCAGGGATGATCTAAGCCAATGTGACATGTTTGGTCAGTTATTCAATAGATACACTGATTTATTAGTAGCAATTATTAATTTATATTTATTAAATTTGTATTCCATCTTTCCTCCAAGGAGTTCAATATTGTGTACATGGTTCTCCAACTCCACATCTTATCCCCACAATAGATGAGACTGTGACTGGCTCAAGGTCACCCAATGAGCTTTAGGATTGAGTGGGGATTTGAATCTTGGTCTCCCAGGTCCTAGGGGAGGCACCATTTGCAATTTCCATAGTGCCACTGATATAGTGTCACTCTGGATCACTGTAGAAAATTTAAATGGTGGTGTCATTGGACTATTTGCTCCCACTGCTGTCACCAGGTAAGCTCACTGAGCAGGGCTTCTCAATGACGTGTGCTTTACCAAGGTTCTTCTCAAATCCACACAGGAAAGGGTGTGAGAAAAGAATGGCCCAGGGTGATAATCAAACTGGTTAAGAAAAGGAAGCTCATCTGATCAAAGAGAAGTCATCCAAGTTCTTTGAAATGTAGGGGAATTTTCTCAGGAATGACCACTCCCCGCTTAAAACGGGGGGCGCCCTTTGCGTGGACGCGCGCAGCCCTGGATCTGGAGCGGCCCCATCAGCATAGGCTTGGCTTTGCCTTCCCTCAGGTGGGATACCTGGAGGTCCCCGCCTACCTCAGTCAGTTGTCCAATCCCACCTGGGAAGCGTTGCCAAGGAGACCAGGCCAGGTAGGGGAGGGATTACCTGCCCACACAATAGAGGGAGGATCTTACCTGGGAATCCTCACTTGGCTCCAGAGCTTCTCCCACCCTACCCACCCTCAGTTAATGTCTTCCTTTGCAGGTTAACTTTTCTTCATAGGTTTTGCAGGTTAACTTTTCTTCACAGGTATGCGGGCGCTGCTACGATAAGGTCGCTGTTAAAGGGCCGGAAAGGAATTTCCCTGCATTGGCAGGTTTCGCCTTTCCCGTAGCAAAACGTCACAACTTTGGCAGTATCAGGCCTTGGGCGGAATCCTTTAGTCCATCTTCTTCTTTGCGGCGGCGATACCAGGGTTCCCCATTAAAGGGGTTTCTGAAGGGAGGCTTTGACCGTATGCCGAAAGGTCGTCATTGCTCTCCCCTGCAGCGGCGGCGTAACGGGGGCGGCTATCTCTGCTTGAACATATGTTCTCCAGAGCCGGCCCATCCCCCCCCCACACTGGATAACCCTGAAGCTCCCTAGGTCCCCGGCTGGGGACTGGGGAGGGAGAACGCCCAATGCCTGAGCCAAGGTCTACCCACATTTGAAATTTAATAAAGTTGTGGCCAATTTAATCCCATAGCACATTGTCTTGAGTCGTTATTACACATTACGGGGGGACCGCTCGGGATCTGGGGACTCCGCCTGTCTGCGCAAAGCATTTGTCCCTCAATTAGTGTATACTTTTGGAGAGCATCCATTTTCATTGCTTAATTGCTTAACATTATCGGGGGTTAATGGAGGCCCAGCTTAATTGGCAGCCATTCACAAAACTATCCAGCCACTTCTAGTCTCACACTGGAAATATGTATAAATTGACATTGCAAAAAAATTCCAGCATTGCCGCTAGTTGTATCTATTGTTGTTGTTTAGTCATTTAGTCGTGTCCGACTCTTCGTGACCCCATGGACCAGAGCACGCCAGGCACTTCTGTCTTCCACTGCCTCCCGCAGTTTGGTCAAACTCATGCTGGTAGCTTCGCGAACACTATCCAGCCATCTCGTCCTCCGTTGTCCCCTTCTCCTTGTGCCCTCCATCTTTCCCAACATCAGGGTCTTTTCCAGGGAGTCTTCTCATGAGGTGGCCAAAGTATTGGAGCCTCAGCTTCACGATCTGTCCTTCCAGTGAGCACTCAGGGCTGATTTCCTTAAGAATGGAGAGGCTTGATCTTCTTGCAGTCCATGGGACTCTCAAGAGTCTCCTCCAGCACCATAATTCAAAAGCATCAGTTGTATCTATTACACACATATAAATAATATTCAGATATGCTAAATGGAGAAACAAAATGGCTCTGTTACCTCCTTGGCTCATGGTTCACTTCAAGAATGGTCCACAGTGTTGAATTGCACTCCCACTCTGTTGTTGATATTTTAAGGGAAATTGCAGTATCAATGGCAGTGTAAAATAAAACCATACATGGTTAGAATGTTTGGGAGAGCAGGGTTCGAAACTTCGCTAAGCCACGAAGTTCACTGGGTGACCTTGGGCCAGTCACCATATTTTAGTCTAACCTACCTCACAGGCTTGTTGTGAAGATGAAATAGGGAGGAGGAGAACCATGTACACCAGCTTGGAAGATAAAAGCGGTATATAAATGTAATAACTAAAACAAACAAATAAATAAAAGTGGCTAGAGATGTGCTATAGCATTCTTCCTCTTTCATAAATCCAGATTAGAATGACTGAAAATTCATTCATACCCCATTTAAATCAGTTATCAGTTGCTTTCAGAAGTTCTAAATACAGTCCTAATTTCACTCACTTAAAGAAAATGTTTCTTATGCAAAAGAGAAGCCTAAAACATGGTGTTTGGAGATAAGGCAGAAAAAGAACAATCCAGCAAGGAGGCCAATGAGAAACTGGATTTATTATTGCTATTAGGAGGGGTTGTTCGTTTAGTTATACATTTCTTACGAAACATGGCCAAGTTTTTGAGCATTTGTAGCTGGATATAAACCAAATGCCATGTCTATACTGGCTGTTGGATGAAGAAGACAGGGGCAGTGTCTACAGGTTAAATTAGTTTTTTCAGTAATGGTTCTCCTGCTTTGCTTTACAAATTCTTTGTGCTTCATTCAGCTGGACAGAATTTCCTGCTTATGGTTCTGCTTTCTCTTTTGTATGCAGTCATATTCCCTAGATCAGCTGTATTGTTATCCAAATTCACTGTTGCAAGACAAACTTTTGTTTTCAGTCTGCAGGTGCAAATGCATTCTGAAAGCTCTGTCATCTGTGGAAGGTAGGAAACCATGCTGTGATGAACTCCCTACCACTTTAGGATTTCTCAAAGTACGGGAACAACATTGCCTGAATTTCTTCAGCATAACATAAATATTTTGAATATTTTCAATCAAGGTTCATTCAAAAATAAGGCAAATCGCTTTCATATTTCCCCCACGGAATTTATGGATAATCCAAACAAGCTTCTGAAAGAAGGGCTTAGAGCAACAGACTGTCAACATATCAACAGTTCAGACCATCTGTGAATTGTCTACCTGGGTGTAGGGTAGGGTTGTTCAGGTTAGCAGCCTCTGAGTGTTCTTGCATAGATCACTGCTCCTGCCAGCACTGCATTTCACCAATTATGCTTGCTTCAAGAAGTTTGTGAACATTCTGGGAGGTCAGATTTAGTCAGAGCAACCATACTTCATGTGGTTCATACCTAGAACATTGTACCATGATCTCTAATGGACCATCCTTGATGGCTGTTCAGAGTTTGTATGTGTATGTTCCATCCTGCCTTCCTCCAGACAAGGATGGGTGACAGAGGCAGGCAATAATGGTATGGGAAGTCACCCCACCACATGACTCCTTATCAATGTTACTGGAGAGTAACATATAGGCTGCAATACTAAATACAGTAAATACACAACTAGGAAGCAGGCCCCATTATACACAAAGGGATTGATGGATTAGTAGGCACAAATAGGATGGTAATGATAATGTAATTGCCTCATGCCAGTGCCTAGAAGCCAAAGCTATTCAGAGCCCTAGTCCAGATCCATTTTACAACAAACAATCCCTAGAGCAGAGATGGGGAATCTGTGGCTCTCCAGATGTTGAATTCCAATTCCCTGGCTATTGGTCACACTGATGGGTGATGGAGCCCAATAACACCTGGAGGGCCACAATGCCCTCCACTCTGCTCTAGAGCAGGCATAGGCAAACTCTGGACCTCCAGATGTTTGGGACTACAATTCCCATCATCTCCAGCTAACAGGACCAGTGGTCAGGGATGATGGGAATTGTAGTCCCAAACATCTGGAGGGCCGGAGTTCGCCTATGCCTGCTCTAGAGCTTTAGCCAGAATTAATCTGTGAGGTACAGGTTCCTCAAATCTAGCAAACAGTTGGGCTTCAGAGTTTGCTGGCAACTCTAGGCACCTTCTGGTGTGTTTTTGAAATGAGCTGAGCAAAATGTCCTGATGCTTTTTAATGAGAGGTGTCCTTTTATTTGCCCACCTCACAGGGCCTATTCGGCATTCATTTTTTAAAATGAATCCAATCTCACTCTGCTCACTCCCTGTTGGCAAAATAAAAAAAATACAACTTTTTCAACCTTCATCCCTTTCCATAAGTCAGAGACACATTATAAAAGGTTTTATATCCCCTCAAAAGTGACTTTTCTCAAGGCTACGATGTCACTTGGACTCCCTTTGAATTTTCAATCTGAATAAATTGAGTAACCTTGAAAATGGAAAGAAGCTGGTTCACCTCATTTGTTGAGAGATGTTCACTGTAAAGAGCAAAGCAGTATGTTTTAACATTATCTAAGAACCTGTGCATACAGGTATATTACCTGCCATCTGACTGAAATACACTTATTTAGCAAAGTCTATAAACTCACAATGTATTTATTTATGCCTTAATCCAAAACAAAACAAAAACCCAGACACGTTGTAGCCTTCTAGATATTGGTGCATGCTTTAGCAACACAATACAGAAACAGCATTAGGTGCAAAGCTCAAATTCTAAGAGGGCCTTTGTGATGCAGAAGGTCTCAGGTTCAATCCTTAGCATATCCACTTAAAAGGATTTCAGGTAATACACTTGGAAAAGACCCCAGCCTGATACTGTCGAGAACTCCTGCCAGTCACAACAGACAATGTTGCATTTGCTCAGAGTTGGGGAATCTGCAGCCATTCGGATGGTGTTGGATTCCAACTCCCATTAGCCTCAGGAAGCATGGACAGTGGTGGGATTCAACAGTATCTGAATGGCCACAGGATCCCCACCGCTGGGTTAGATGGGTGAATAGTCTGACTCTGATAAGGCAGCTTCTTCATATGCTCATATACGGTAGGTATCAATTGGCTAAAAGGCGGGGGCGGGGTGTTTGGGCTGGCACTTGTAGGTCCTCTACCTTCCATCTCATAATCAGTACACTGATTAAATGGGAATTAATTCTAGGGAAAGGCTGCATGACTGAAAACGACCTAACTATGGCAACTGTGTGAAAAGAATTCAGATTGAACTGAGAGTTGCTTCCCACTTCCCTTTCACCTTCTGTCTGATCCCAGAAGTCATTTTATGCAAACTCATTCAAATGAAGATCCCTCTTGGGAGGAAGGGAAAATGATGACTCACCTGACAATGTTAACAAACATCATCTCCCTCTCCCTCCTTGGAGAATTCAGTAATTTGGAGCATATAAATACGAGTAATGCATGTGCTGCCTGCTAAGGAGATGTAAGCCGGAGCGTGTGCTTCACTTTAGCAGACTTGAGGTGCCCCTGAAACTCATTTCCATTTTCTATTTGCATGAGGTGAAAGCAGGTACAAATTTTTGTTCTGATCATAAATAAAAGATTGTGAGTTCCAAAACTCACTCTTTAGCAGAGCTATTATTTCTGACAAGATGAAGGTGTTTCTGTGAGCCCAGTGAAATGAATCAGATTTGGAGAACAGTTGCCATCTCCCAGCAATGAGGGAGTACCTGGTAAGACCTAGAAAAATGGCATGAAGCAAGAGCACTCTCTCCCTCTCCCTCTCTCTCATACACACACACACACACACACTTTGATTTTTCCTGTTGTGGATTACACCTAATAATACGGATGAATGTCATTAAAATTAAGCATGTTCTGAAGCCTTTTGCCAGAGTTACATCAATAATTATGATAATCACCATCAACATAGCATAGCTTATTTGGAAATAATCTGAATTCCCATTTAATTAATAAGGAAAGTGCATAGAGATCTTGGCACCTGATCAAGGTCACACAATGTCAGCAGGTCCCCTTGGAATCCTGTCAGGTAAGATCCCCTTGCATTGCTCCCAGTCTAGTGCATGCTTGTGTTTTTGCAGAATTAGAGTCTTACACTACAAGCCTTGCAGATGTCCATCTTTGTTTGCACAGTGAATATTATGCCCATCTGATTCTGAAAACAATGTGTGTTTTTTTAAAAAAAAATGCGTACACATATATGTACATGTTAATCCTTCATAATAAAATGAGACATGACTGCAACACGCTTTATACAATTTGACCTACAACTTATCTATACTTACTTGGAAGTAGGCACTGCTGAACTCAATGGAAATTACTTGATTCATCCTGCTCATTTCTTCCTCTTTACTGATTTAGCAGATTTATATCTGTCCAACAATCCATACATACTGTAGATGTTAATTAGTCAAGGCTTAAAATGTTCAGAATAAGACAACTGAGGAACTAATGTAGTTTAAATGTGACAGGACTGAGCAAGATTATTGAAAGCTCTTTTAAAACGTATTATAAATACTGCAATCCTATACACACTTCCCTGGGAGTAAATCCCACTAAAAAGAGGGGGACGTATTTCTAAGTAAGCATGCTTAGGACTACACTGCACAGTAGATGTTTTGCATCCTTTGAAAACAGAATCTTGATATTTTGATTCCCCTAACTCCAGCACATATGGCAGTAATGTTTCATGTTAATACTCCTTTCTGGAATATTAATTGTAAACAAACAAGCGCGCACACACACACTCTTACTGATATGAGTGGCTATATGAATAGCTACCATGCATTATATTACCCCATAAGTCAATTAATCAGCATCTAGGAAAGCAAGAAACCCAGTTAAAGATTGTAGTCCTATATTTTACAATGGATCAAAGAAACAAGGTCCCTGCTCCAGAGGATTTGCTGTCTAAAATATTATTCTGATGGTGAAACCTGATTAGGCTTTGGAATTCTGTGTTGACCAGAAGTTGTATGTCAGCTCAGTCACAAATTATGAAGGATTCACTTTGATTCTACAAATGCTCCAAATGTGGCAGTTCAAAGTTTGAACATTACTATAGTACCTGGTCTTCATTTGCATAATCCAGACCTGTCTGCTGCACCATTAAAAAGGTTAAGGCTCTTTCAGCTAGATGGCAAGCCAGGGATAAAAATTCTGTAGCAAAAGCAGGAAAAAATAATAATGGAAACCATTCTGGGATGAACGGAGCATGCTACATGGGAGTACATGGTGAGATATAAAAACAATGCAAAGTTTTAAATGATCTACCTTTGAATAAAGGGAGCATTAATTGTTTCTAACATTATGGATCATTATTACTTAGCCACATTACTTTGCTGTAATAGTTTTATTTAACAAGGCAGTACATATTAGATCCAAATCCAAACAGAGCAGAATAAAAAACTTGAATCAACACCACCCTGTTCTGAATTAGAGTCTTTTCTGGTGTTTTCTCATGTAACACCTAAAGTACCTTTGAGCATCTCTCATGGTGCCAGCACACATTTAATTAAGAAAAGAAAAGAGTAATTTCGAAACTGTACGTTATAAGTGTTTTAAGGTTGTTAGCACATCAGGGCAGGGACCTGCCCATATTTTTAAGTCACTTTGTTAAATACTATGTACGTCAATGGCACAACGTAAAACAACAACAAACAACTCAAATGAATGCTTAGGTTATAATTCTACACACACTTATTTGGGAGTAAGTCTAACTGAATCCAATGGAGCTTCTTTATGAGTAGACAGGTATTGTTAGGCTGCAATTCTAACTTCCTGATATTAGTGGGATGACATATATGAACTTATCCTCCACCAGCAGAGAGGAGCATCACTGGCGGTAGTGGTGTGAGCTCTGCCACTCTCTAGAACCCAGTTAGGATTATTCTGCCCATCAACACTGGAATTACTGATATGTGGTGGTGGGGGAGGGGAGAGAGTAGAAACCAATTCCAGCATTCCATTTGAAAATGGACATTGTCACCAATGCTACACACGGTATATAAAAACGTGTTCCTCCAACACTCACCTATCAAATCATGGACAAGATCCTTGATGAGATGCCCAACAATGGCATACGCCACAGCCACCACCACAAGTGCTGCCATAAGAAGGTAGAGCACAGCTTTGGGCAAAGGGATTGCATCCCGAGGAAGAGGTTTGTACTCCTTGTAAAGCTGGTCATTGTCTGAATATGAGTATTGGAAAAGGTGGTCCAGGCCAGTGGTAAAGTTACTGGAATTCATGGACTGGCTGTTGGACAAATAGCTGCCTTGGTCAGGATCCTGCAGAACACTCACCACAGAGCTGGTGGTGGCTTCCACTTGCTGTACCAAGTTGAGAGTCTTGTTGACACTGGGGAGGATCTGGGAGAGAAATGTGCTCCAATCTTTTATTGCACTGATGTTGCAAATGATCATAATGGCAAAGGAGGAAAATGGATTTTCACAAACCCGGGAGCAGCTCAATGCACTTTCCCCCCCTATATGTAAACCATCCCTACAGGTAAAAAAACCGAAATCAGCCTGTCCAAAAGCGACTTGCCATTCAAACTTCACATGATTGTCTATGTGGATCCAATGGCGTCACATTATCCTTAAAGCGTAAAAGGTATAAATCCAAATTCTAAAACAAGGAATAGTTCCTGGAAGAGAAGCAGATTTGCCCTTTCCACTTGTCATTGATATTTTCCAGACAACTCTTCCTGATGCTAAATGGGAAAAGATAAAGTGATACAAGCTGGCTGCTGGCTTCACTCATCTGGACAGAAAATATGGAGTCCAGTATCTCAGGATACACCTACAAGAGAAAGGAAACACAAGCACAAATAAACAGAGCTGTGTTAAATGAGGCTTATTTTTCAGTTGCTTACTGTTTGTTTAGCAGCCTCAGTGTGTCAGGGGCTGTACTAAACAGCGACCTTCCGAGGACTGAGCTGGTCACACTCATTTCTGCAAGACGGAGAAGAGTCTGCACGCACCACTGCCCAAACTAAAGGACAAAGCGCACTAGTTTGGGTCATCATCGCCAGCATCTAACACAGATGAGCCAGGAAGGCTTTCAATAACTTTTTGAAACCCGAGAATCCCCCGCTCCCCAACCTTTCCTTCATAGGTCAGCGGGACGAAACATTAACAAACCTAAGGCAGGGTCGACTCGAAGGACGCCTCGTTGCCACACACAGGGAATCTCTCCTGAGGTTTGCTTGGAGAGGGAGGAAAAAGAGAAAAAGAAACAACCGACTGCCTCGATTGACTGTCCTCAACTGCCAGACGCCCACAGATTGACCTATGTAGTGGTGCTGTCTAGAGAGAGAGTCTGGACTCGTCTGTTTCTCCCCACCTGTAGTTTTTCCCCCTCTCTCTCTCTGCCTCTCACGCCAAGCGGCTCTCGTCCGCGGAGGAGCTGGCCGAGGTGCTGAACGCTTCCCTCCGAGATTAATAGAGCCGCCGAGGGAGCTCTGAGGATGTCGAAAGACTTAAACCCCGCCGTTATACTTAAATCGGGGGAGGGGAAGATAAAAATGAGACAGTGACATATGATCAGCTCTCTCTCTCTCTCTCTCTCTCTCTCTCTCTCTCTCTGCCTTTGCTGTTCCCTCCCCTTTCGTCTAATCCCTGCACAAACTCTTTCCGTGCCAAAACATGGGGACTGTATTTGCAAATACAGCAAGAAGTTGGATCTCACCTCCGCTACCAATCCATGTTCAAGGATGCCCAACATTAATGCCTGAGAGTGATTTAATTCCGCCTAGCAAAGCAAAGACTATCTAGCTCCTTGTCCTGAAGGAAGGGTGGAAATACCACGTGATTTTCAAACCCTTCACCTATGAGCCATGGGCTCTTAGGAGAAATGGTAGGGGGTGGGAGGGGGAGACACAGCAACTCTGTACATATCTATTATTTACTGTGTGAAACTCAGTAGTGCTAAACTTCTGGTTCCAAGCATTGATAAAGTTGGGCTGCAAATGATTCTACTAGAGGTCTTTAGAATGATACAAGCACTTAAAGAAGTTCTAGCTCATTATTCCTTACAACTATCCTGTAAGGTAGACCAGTACTATTATAAGGAATGAGTGAGAGAACTGTTTAAGGTCTTTCCTCCCACATTCATAGCCAAGCCTATTGTTTAACCAAGGAGAAGTTTCAAAAGGTAAAGCACACACACACACACCCCAAACACAAAAGACCAGTTTTAGAAGAGCTAACTCCTCCTCACAATTGAAACAAGCTCTGCAACAAAAAGTGTTACCTTTTGCAATCCTATACACACTTACCTAGGAATAAATCCCTTGGAATTCTATAGGTCATATCTGAGCAGACATGTGTACAATAGCACTGTAAGAAGAGAGGGTGAATCACAGCAAAAGTATTTCTACTGTATTTTCAAAATCTTTCATATCTTAGCATTTTAAGTTTGAACATTGCAATAGACAATCCATGCAAAACTGGTGGAAACGCAACAAGACCTCCCCTGTTGTTGGCAGTGTGTGGGCAGGTTCATGCTGGAGGAAACACCTTTTCAGATACCCTTGTCCCAAACTGTTTATCCAGCACCCTGAACTTGTCTGAGAAGGTAATTAGAAGTTGATATGATGCCAGAATGGTACAGTCAAAAATCCACACTCCTGCCAACAACCTTGCAGCTACATTTTGCACCACCTGAAGCTTTCTGACACTTTTCAAGGGCAGCCCAACATAGAGTGTGTTACAATCCTGAGGTTTCTGTTCATTCCAGTTTATTGGATATAGGTGAGTACAGTCATACCTCTTGTTACGTTCGGTTCAGGTTACATCTTTTCAGCTTGCGTCCCACAGCGACCCGGAAGTACCAGAAAGGGTTACTTCCGGCTTTCGCTGCTTGCGCATGCACAGATGCGCAAAATGACATCATGCGCATGCGCAGAAGCAGTGAATTGCGACCTGTGTGTGCGCAGACGAGGGTTGCATTCCTTTCAGGTTGTGAACAGGGCTCCGGAACGGATCTTGTTCACAATCAGAGGTACCACTGTATACTACACAAAAAAAGTTCTAAAAATATAAACTATCTTAGTATTAGCAGGTATGCACATAATTAGAAAGTCTTCATTCACAAAGGAGATTTTGCCCTGCTAATCCTGCCAAATTCTTACTCTGCAGAAGGGTTGACCATGTTAGTTCTATGTAGCTTTGAGCATCAGGACAGGGTATCCATACTTTTAAAGGATGAAGGCATCATTGCTTTTGGAGATCTTTTGGTTGCTGCCGTTGCATCCTACATTATTCTACCCATTATATTCAGGGGACTTTGGGTTGTGACCTTTAGCCTCACCTTTTGAAGCAGGCCTTCATTTCCTGCAATCTTGAGTCTAGTTTATCCAATCAGTGGAGGGAAATAAAAGCAAATGAAATACGTTTAAAGAGGGATACGAAACTGTCATGGATTTCGAAGAATTTGCAGCAATGTAAATATTACTTTTACCCCAAATCCTATTCTAACAAATCACATAATTCTCCAGAAAGTTTGCAATTTATTCAAAACTTCACAGGTAAGTAAATAGCTAGATCTAGCTGAATTTAACCCTTATCCTTTCAAAATTAAAAATGCATTGGTGATTACTTACCTAGCACTAGTTCATTTACATGAGTTTATGTTTGCTATTCAGAACTACTGCTGGAAAAACACTGAGTTTCTCCTACAAGAGAATTAGCAGGCCATTTTCATTTCTCCTCTTGCAAATGCAACATACAGGAAGAGCTAGCTCAATTATTCATTGCATACACCTATCTCCATCTCCTGTGTAAAGGACAAAATCTTTATAATCAGAATATTTTCCATTTCATTAAAGGAGTGGGGTGACAGTATTGTAAGAAAAAGATTTGTTCCATTAAAACTTTCCTGGATTACTCAAAATCATAGCTCATATTTTTGCTTCAGTCAAGGGGAAGATTAACAGGGATATGGTTACTGATTTTGATAAATCACTTTAAATAAAAATAATCATAACTGCAATTCTGCCCAATGCCTCTTGACAGAGGAACTGATTACAGAGGCAAACATATTTTCAGGATTAGTTGCTTTTCCAAATGCAGTTGGAGAAACTAAGCTTGAGACTGCAGAAATGGGAAATGAAGCAATATTTATGGGGGTGATTTCAGCATGTGGAAATAAACTTATTTTATTTATTTATTTGTGTGTTTTAAAAAAAACAACAACCTGGTGTCTTGCACTTAACTTTCTGTAAACCCAGGAAGTTTATGATAAAATACAGAACTATCAACAGTTCTTAAGAGCACCTATTGGCTTTTATCTCACCAGGGCTAGTTAATGACCCAACAAAGAGGTGCTTTTGTTGGGTATTCCAGGGATGTTCCATGAGTGCCAGCTGAACCAAGCACTTTAGTGAAATTTGCTTATTACACTGCAGGATAATGAGTACCTGTATACTGTTCCTGCAACTCTTTTTGGAGAAGACAACAGTGAAAGAAATACACTTGTGTAGTCAACACCAGCATTGCTTGATATCTGTTGGTAGCTGCTCCAAGGACCCATTTCTGAGATACCCAGCACTACTGCAATCCCGTTTAGACATGTGTACAGAAGCCTAGTATGGGAGCCTAGTATATTGGCAGCAGTATCTTGGAGGAAGGAGAAAATATGAGACATAACTTCAGCACTGTACAATCATCATAATGATTTATGGGTTTATTTTAACACCATCAGAAACATGAGGGGCATTATTGCAGGGCATGCAAATTCTCCCAGACAGCCAAGTGTATAGTTCCCAGGTCTCTCGATTCTGAACAATAAGCACTGCCAAGAAGGATAGGAGTTACAATCATAAATTGCTTTCTTTCCTTACTCTTGCAATTTTATTTTGAGATAACTATCTGTCCACCCGGGTGAAAGCTGTCCCTTCAATAGATGGAATTGTTCTTCAAGCTCACCTCTGTTTTCGCACGCCTGTCTTCAATGCCATCCACTCTGGCCAGCCAACCTTCATCTGAAAAAGGTTTCCTTTGCCTTTTGTATACCAGGATGAGATAAGCTTTGGTCCTGGCCAAGGTGAAATTGGTACCAGAGACCTCATTGTTGCTGCTTTGATTTTAATTGTGGGAGGCAGCAGCCCCAGACAGCAAATTGGAACCAGCTGCATTGTCTCTGCACATAAAAGCTTTTGGCGCTATAGCAAAAAGCTGATGAGGGAGTATGTGCTAGGGAGAATGGACTGCCAGACATGTGAATAAGGTTGCCACCTTTCTATAGCTATATATTCAACAGCTTTGCGGCAGGTAGAAATTTGATTGTTTGGGGGTGGGGCCAAGCTTCTCAGCATGGTGATGCTATGCCTGGGAAGTTTAATGATTAATCAATTGCATTCGTACCCCATGTTTTCTCCCATGTATATGGTTCTCCTCTTCATTTTATCCTCACAACTCTGTGAGAGAATGATTGGCCTAAGTGAGCTTCATGGTCAAGTGAGGATTTGAACCCTGGCCACCCAGGTCCTAGTCCAACACTCTAACCACTACACCACATTGGCTTTATCCAACAGCAAGGAACAAAGATCTTATCTAACACTTTATGAAAGATACTCATAGTTTGGCCATGGTGAAGTCACCACCACTTTGATCCTCTCTCCTAAGCATCGTTGCTCTCCAGACAGTGTGCATGGATGGTATTGTTATGAGGTCACCCTGAGAAATTGCAATGACCCATGGGTAATAAGGCATACTTTTGTATGAGACACGGCTCTAAATGGTTTAGTCTTGATTGTTTGTTTTCTATACTACAACTCAGTCCTGGATAATTACAAATGACATATTTGAAGTCATAAGACTTTGTCTTTTGGTTTGTTTTGTTTTAATCCCACTTGGTCACATATATGCTGACATTTCTAATGTTCAGAGAAACCTTCCATTGGACTGCTCATCTTACAGTGCAGGGGATGTTCCATCACTACAAAAGGG